TTTGTGAGAAGGTCAACCCGTCGCACCACGGAGACGCAGCACATCGGCGCCTTCAAGCAACCCAAGTGGGTTGGTAAACGTGAGAACGAGACGCAACGGCGAGCGAGAACGAGTAGCTCGGTCGATCGTTGGTATTCGCGCGTAGGCAAGAGTGGTTGAGGTGCCAATTTGCGATACTCAGCGGCGAGCTACTCGCCTTGGGACGCCGTGTATGTGGTACAAGCAGGCGCCTGGTGTTCGCATTCCGTCTGGAGCGAGGCGGTGAGGCGATGGCACCCAAATCCACGCTGGAAGCGGCGTCCGTGACACTCAAGACTGGCTTTTGCGCGCTTCAAACGCGCGCTTTTGAAGTCAACGCGAGCTCCAGGCTGGCCGCTTGCATTGGTGCTTCCAGGTTGCTACCGTCAGGAGAGACATCGATCTTATTAGAGCGTAGACAGACAGCCACATACCGTCGACAGGCGCTGGAGACGTCGCCGTTGAGGCCTGATTCGAGGCGTATGCCGAAGGGACGTAGCACATGGAGTGTTATAACTTCTGAGCACGCGCCATGGCAGTTGATGACAAACCGCTCCCATCCGGCAAAGACCCGCGCGGTTTGCGCAAATCCGCGATGCGCAACCACACCGGCTGGACCCGCATCCGGATACTGGACGTGTGTCAACTCATCGCGGCCGTGCTCTCGTTGCAGTCGAACGGGGTTCGCAGTGCGAGTACGAAGTAATAACTTGGCGCTTGCTAACAAATCTTTATGGTCCTTCGACACGCGGGTCTTTTCTTGCATTTCGTTTTTGCGCCAACTTGTCCTCGATTATTGTGAACGAACACGTTGTCAACGGCTTGTCCTTCCAAAGGGCAAAAGAATACGATAACATGGCGTGATACCTGGACCGGTATCAGTCTACAAGGACTGTTGTCCGTGGCACACCATGCTCACCCCTTCTGTTGGCGAAACCCGCACCGAGAAATGCACAGAATTGTCGTATCCCAGATTGATTGCGCATTTGTTCACTTCAACTCGTCCATTTGTGAAACCGATGAGCGCTACCCATGAGCGCTACCTGGCCTCTCTGATATCTCAGTCGACACAGGAATGTTCTTCGGCGCCTGTGGCAGCAAGAACGCCACTCGCATGTGACCAGCCATGACTCCTTTGCATAAGGAGAGATGCTGAAATGTCATGCCAAGGGTTGAAGTCGAGTGTCATGACAACTCGTTTCTAGTGGTTCCGTGCATTGGGTGCGTCCACGTACTAGGCGCGAACGCCTCCTCGTCTCAGCGCTTGATTGCGTTGCATTTCAGCTTGGATAATAGCGTTGATGGATGCGCTTCCTTTCCTGTTGTGACCCCGTTGCGACCCAAGAAGGAAAAAGCTTACTCACGAATCGAATGACATTCTACTATTACAAAGAGAGGTAGTTTTGGGCTATAAATGATGCGATCTAAAACTTGTAGTGGGTCCGGTTCGTGTACACAACCTGCTGGTACTCGACGGGGCAGAACGGAAACACCGTCGCCGACTCGGTCGGCGAGAAGAGCGCAATGCCCGTCTTGATCGACACATAGATCGCAAGCGCTGTCGTGACCACCATCGACAAGACAGCAAAGCACTTTTCGGCCTTGGAGAGTTTGACCCAAAACGTCTTGAGGTAAAACGCGATCGGCAGAATCATGCAGCACGTCGACGTCGCCGATGCACCAATGAAGTCGAGCAGATCGCCAAACTTGTCCTTGAACGCAATCGCAACCACGACGCAGAGCGCAACCATGATGGTGCGAAGAACCGCAGCCTTGAGGTACGCACCCGGCGCCTTGTACGCCGCCGACGGGTCGTCATGCTGAAGGAGGTCAGTACTGAGGTCCTTGGGCGTCTCGAGGTCGATCACGTCGATGTCCTTGGCGATACCTTCTTGCTTGTGCAAACCCAAGACGACGCGTTCGGCCATAAACATGGCCGGGAAGAGCACAAGGGCAAACGCAATCACAATGTGGAGGTGCATGAAGAGGAAGGCGAGAATGACACCGCCGCGCGACGCGGTGAAACCGAGCTTGGAGCCGGTAATGGCAAAGAGGAGGTTGCCGGGGATCTGGCAGCCGACCTTGAAAACACCGAGGACCGAGACGATGAGAAAGCAAAACGAGACAAGCACCAAGGTGACCGTGATCACGCGCGGCATACGCTCGGGCTGTGAGTGCTCGCGCTGGAGCGACGGGATGATGATGCCGGCGCCGTACGAGAGCGCCAAGCTGCCAAAGACGGTTGCGACACCACTGAGCGAGATGTCGGGCGACGGCGGCGAGACACCTTCCGGGATTTCGATGCTGCTCAGCAAAAAGTAGATCGCGATCGCGTCCGAGAAGACAACACCGAG